TTCTCATTGATTCTATGTCAGACAGTCTTGAACAACGACCACCATAAACTGTGCTTTCCAGAATTCATGTACTTGCATGGCCCCCTTCCATAAGGAATCTATCCTACTTGCCTTCATTCACTTGAATCAATAAATTGTGGTAAGTGTCATCATGAGCATCAAGAAGTCACGACTGTATTCACTGTCACACTATCAGACACTCCAGCTGCCACAGAAAACTAGTAATCAGCTGGAGAGGCCACAGAGAGAACTTGTGGAGGCTTTGGGTGAGGAATAGACACTCCAAACCACATGGAGAAGTTGATAAGTACAGTCATCACTCCACTCAAGTTAAGTGTCTATAGGACACTATCCCCACCACTAATATGACCAAAAGTGAATGAGAGAGGCCAAAATAACTGTCTAGTTGCTACCATTTGATTGTAATCAATTTACATGAACAGCAGTGAATTGTTGACTGAGGTACACCACTCATTTGTGAAGTAGTTTGCCGTAGAGTAATAGAGAGCTAAGTTAAGAAATTCCTCTTAGGTCTCTTAGATTTGTCAAATCCTTACTTGCTTACACTTTCTGTACATGTCTTAGAGAAGTGAGAGATGAAAATATTAGTTCAAAGGTGATAGAACACAAGCATTTCTAAACTTCATTACCCTTATCCACAAGAATCATGTGGACCATGATCAGCTGATGGGTCAGATTGTACACTCATGCACATATTCTGAGTGTATGTTTTGATTTCATAGCTTGTTTCCATAGTTAATATGAAGACATGTGAGTATATGTCCTCTTCAATTACCAACTGTTATAGGCCTTCATGAATGGTGGTGCTCACGTTTAATCCCAGTACTAGGCAGAGGCAGGCAGTTCTCTGTGAGTTTGAGGCCAGTCTGGTCTATATATTGTGTTCCAGGACAGCCACAGCTGTTACACAGAAAAACCCTGTGTCAAAAAGCAAAATAAAAAACCAAACTAACAAAAAGACCTTCATGAGCATCACTGGTAAACTATAAGGGAATCATATTTTGAAAAGAAAATACAAAAATATTATATATGTGTGCATGCCATGTATGTATTTAATAGTGACTATATATAAAACAACTTCAAAGCAGATAGTTTTTCATTTGAACCTGATAAATACTAATAGCTACATTTCATGTAGTATGTATTATATGATATGTTATACAAAGACACCATTGGGGAGAAATCTCCCTCTGGCTCCCCCTCCCTCCAGTCCTCTCTCCCTCTTGCCCCCTGCCAGCTCCCTCTTTCTCTACTGAATTTAGAGACTCAGTACCAGCAGTTTTATTTTTCTTCCTCAAAGTCTTTGTGTTACCTGATCTATTAAACTGAACAGCTGTTAATGCCAACTGCTTTCCTGGCTGTGGTGGTTGGAATGAGAATGGCTCCTATAGACTCATGTATCTTAATACTTAGTCCCAGATAGTAGAACCATTTGGGAATGATGAGGAGGTGTGCCCTTGTTAGAGAAGGTGTGTCTCTGAGCTTTGAGGTCTCAAAAACCCATGCCAGACCCTCTATGCCTGCTGCCTGCAGATCAGGATATGAGCTCTCAGCTTCTGCTCCAAAGAAATGCCTGCCAGCTGCCATACTTCCTCCCATTATGGAAATTGACTAATCCTCTGAAACTGTAAGCAAGCCATCAATTAAATGGTTTCTTTTATAAATTGCCTTGGTCATGGTGTTTTATCACACTAATAGAAAAGAGACTCAGGCACTGGCTATCTTTTTCTCTTGATTGTAGATTTAGTCATAACTTTCTCCATTATGTATAGCCTCCCATATTCATTCTATGCATATTAACCTTTCTAGGTAGTAATTTCATTCCATTAACATTGTGATTGCATGTAACAATTTTCTCATTTTCCCTTCTGCCTTTTATATTGCCCTCTATCAGAGAGTAAGACCCATGGTTAAGGAATACCACAGATGTGATTACCAAGTATGTCATCAGGCCCTACAACAATGCCTGGAATGAAGTAATTAGGGAACTCTGACAACTCACCTCCACGGAAGATACTACTGTCTAACATTTTTTTCTGGACATGAAATTTGGGCCTAAAGAAGATTTCATAATGTGGTCATGATCTCAACTTAAACTATGTTATCTGTTATCTGTATCTTTTCTATATTCTGCTGGCCATGATAGGCTTTCTATGTTGTTAAATTAATAGACTAGCAACACTAGCAAAAGTAAACATCAACTGATTATATGATCTGAACCAAGTAAACAGTGACTCTCTTCTACCAAAATATCAAAGGATGTCAAAGGAATATTGCCCTGATGTTGCTTATATTTATGTTTCAAGAGGTAAAGGAGATATATAGTGTTTAATTCAATTATTAACATCATCAGCTCAAATAGATACATCTGATTTTTGCATTGAGCTTACTTAGCAACAAGAGAGAAGCATGTGAGTCAATAGTTGAAGACTAGAGTTATTTTTCAAGACTCAAAATAGACAACACGCTTAAGGAGAACACCTAGGACAAGCAGAGATTACAAATGGAAAGTTAAGAAATTTTATTAATTTTAATAACCCAGGAAGGGTGGTACAGGCAAGGGTATGAGATCATAAATAAAGTTCTCTTGTTTAATGTGAAGGCAAGGACATCAACACATCCAGAAGAAGAAAATATCAATAGTCAGAATTGGTCTCTTTCTAGTTTTGTGTATGGAAGGAAAATCCCAGAAGCTAGATTTAGAATAGCTGTAATGTAACACGAATAAATAAAAGACCCAGAGACTGATACTGGGGTTCAAACTGAATATGAGGGAAGCAAAGCAGCCAGCCACTAGCTCTCACCTCTAGCTCAGGCTGAGAGGGCTGATCCATGCACGAACACTTCACAAAGTTTCAAACTGCTGCCTCTCTTCAGCATGGCTGGAGAATGAATGCCTCTCTGAGACTTTGCTTCTGTCTTGTATACTTCCCTAATGTTGAGATTAAAGATGTGAGGTATAATTCCCTTTTAGACTGATTTTAGATCTGGGTGGCCTGGACTCACAGAGGTCCGCCTATCTCTTAATCCTGAGTCCTAGAATTAAAGGTCTGTACCACCATCTCCTAGCTTCTGGCTGCTGGAGTTAGAGGTGTGTGCCTGGCTTCTGTAGCTTGTGACTGACTTTGCTTTATGAATCCTCAGGCAAGCTTTAATAAGTGATAAATAATATATCATCACACTTATATTTCCGTGGTAAGGAGAGATCCATCTTGATGCTTAACACTAAGCACTTTCTATTAACTTTCTTCTTTAGGATTCTGTATTTCTCAAATGTACTTCTGATTAGGACTTCACATTCCTAGAAGGTAACAAGACCATTCTGGTCGCCTCAACTGCTATCACTAGTCATTATTTGTTTTGAAGACAATATCTTAGATATTTGATTAGCACAAGTCTATGTAAGACCGAATATTCTTAGGCCTCCTCAGCAGACACAGGTTCAGAAAACTCAAAATCAGGGTTTCAGAGTCTTATCATGGAGGATCACACAGTTTCTCCATGGCTGACTCACTACATCTGTTGACACTGTCACAAGAAATCTAGAACACCACAACCTAGACCTGGGGTGGTATCTGCATGGAAAACCACCTGCACTGAAGCAGGAGACTCAGAACATTAGAAGAAAGGGAAGAATTTACTTTTCTATGTGTAGATAGTGGGTCAATGTAAAGGTTTGTTTTATTTTTCCAATTGTTTCTAAGATATAGATTAGAGAAATGACACAAAGAAGAATATTCTATAGTGGTGCTTTAGTCAAATTCTTGGATATAGTATAAGAAAAATAAAGGATGACAATGCATTTGCATCAAGGATACTACAAGAACAACTGGGGGGAGTGAGTGAAAATGAACAGTTACATGAGGGTCCATTTCTGTGGGTCAATTTTTCATTTCTGATATTTTTATTGTTATTAAATGTTCTTTTTATTTCCCAAATAAATGTCTATAATGGGTTTTGAGTGAATCTATCCACCCACCCTTGGTTTTTGCATTTCCTCTGGGCACAACCTGATACAGTAATAACTACAAACTTTCACACAGATGTTCAAAATGCAGAATAAGTGTACATCATTAAGAAGCAGTAATACTTACCATGGGTATAGAAACATCTGTGATATACCAGACATTATATTTTCATTTTAATACCCCTTTGCCTCTTAGAAGACATGTTTTCCAAACCTAAATAAACAGCAGCATCTATGTAAGTTCATTACCTTGTCATATTCCATACAGCTGTAGTACAATAGCTCCTATTTAAAAAATGATTCTTTTTCTGATTTTATTTGTGATAGTGGTCACAACAGTAAAGATCACTGTTTCTATTCTTATGTTTTCTCAATTAGGAGTTCATAGAACCTACATAAAATAATTTACCATACTTAGGAAAGCATGTGTGAGAATTTTTGCATCTTACTTGGACAATTATCTTCTTTAGTGTTCTTACCTCTCATTTGAATCTTCAAGAGTCATTTGATTGTGTCTTGATACTATGTTGTCCACAAATACAGTCACACACTTGTAGATCTTAATTTTGGTACTTAAATTAAGTACAATTATATTATATAGAATATATATGTTTATAAAACATATTTAAATATACACATAAATTAGTGATACATACTCACATATATGAGCTAAGTATATACATTCTGAATAATATCAATTAGCACACCATTTTCATGCTTTTTTCTTTCTCACAAATTTGTTAATAATTGCATCCTAAAACCTACCTACATTTGCTATCTGTTAAGTACAAATGCAACTTCTTATAAACTTAAGTACTACCTTTATATGTTGGTTTTGACTCTATAAGTACTAAGTAATGGAAAAAAACATTATTTGTATTTTCTCATAAGAAATATGAATATGTGTTTATGCCTCAGCTACTAAACAAAATCTCTAACATTATACTGACAAAAGTGGGTCTTCTCTTTCGTTTTTAGGATATATTGGCATTGACTAAGAGAAGTTTGCATATGAAATTTATTCACATTGCTTTATTTGTTTGTTGTTATTGTTGGTGGGATTGTTCAATTCACAAAAGTCTTTCAAGTCATCATACCTTTCCATTCAACCAGTGAGATAATAATCTTGAATGAAACATTTTACAAACTGGACATATATCCCATTTATTTTCCCTAAAATTTGTGCTCCATAAATAAAGTCCACTTTTAAACCTTTCTCAATATTATACAAAATATTCTTATGCATATAATAAATGTTTCTTTGAACATTTAAGCTTTTAAATTGTCAGAAATCACACTAAAGTTATCATTAGTTCTTAGTCTCAACACGGAATATATTGTGCTTATACAAACTGCTGTTTTCATGTGCTCACGTATACTCTTTTACATGAGTGCAGCAAGTGTACTTTGTGATTCTGTTTTAAATTATGTTTTAAAAAGTATAATAAATACAAAACTTGCCAATTTATCAACAGTATTCTTCAATTATCCTCATTTTCATTTGTTTATATGTATAATTTTTTTTCTTTTTGAAAAATGATTAAGGCAAGCACAATCAAAATTACAAATCACCGTCTCTAGTGCTAACATATGCAACATTCATATTTAGTGACAAATTTCCTTCGCTTTTAAAAATAAAAGTCTAAATGCTAAGTATACTATAGTTGTCATAGTCAGCTATGCAGTCTTATCAATAAACCATAGCTGTCTTTAGAGACAGCAACACAAAAATACACATTTCCAATGCTACCCGAGCAGAGATCCCTGCTGTCCCCTTTCTTTGATTTCTCACCCTATGCCCAGCATTCTTGTAATACACAGCATGTTATTCAGATGCCTGTTTTGAAGACGACTATTAATAAAGGCCATTTCCTGGTGCAGAATACTTAAAAGTGTAGCTGTGGATTTACTTAATTCTATTGTGTTTCTATTTCACATCAGTGGCAGCATGCCATCTAGTCTGTAAAGAGAAAACTTAAAATAAAAAATCATACCAGTAATTGTATCTCTAAGGTTAGGCTTTGCTGAGGACATGTTATTTATTAAGGACATAATTTAAATGTAATCTGAAAAATACATGATTTCACAGTCCTGCAAAAATAAATTTGATGGAATGATAGGATACTCATGGCAATAACTTTGATGCTTCCACAGGCTTTTCTTGTGACAGTTGCTGAGTACATTGCCTTCTTCGTTCTTCATGAATAAATAATTCAGGGTTACCATGTAAGGAAAGTGTGGGAAATGGAGACAATCACAGAATTTTATAGGGAAAGCAAAATGAGCTGACTCTTTGTTAAGATAAAGAAAAGTTGATTGAGCAGAAACCCAGAGACCTGCTTTTACCCTGTACAAAAAAATATTACTGAGCAATTTTCTTATGAAATTCATTAACTTGCCAACTTGTTGTTGTTGGTTCAAGGTAGTATGTATATTGAAAGTATTGATACTGCATGGTTTTAGTTTGTGTCTATACATATTATACATATACCTACACTATTTAGAATTCTAAAAGCTTACCATTGTCACAGTCAGCTGTTCTGAACTACTAAAGTCCAGAATGTATTGTGATGATTTATTGATGTATTTTCCACTTCAGTTTAGTGCAGGAATAACAAAAATCGCTATTGTACACAATGAAATTTACTGTTGCCTATTATTTTTGAAATGCTCTAGTATTATAAGAATTTAGGTGGGCCAGACAGTGGTGGCACATGCCTTTAATCCCAGCACTTGGGAGGCAGAGGCAGGCAGATCTCAGTAAATTCAAGGCCAGTCTGGACTACAAAGAGTGCTCCAGGATAGCCAGGACTGCTTTACAGAGAAACCCTGTCTCCTAAAACCCAAAAAAAAAAATTAGGTGGGAAAAGTCTAAAGTAATTGCGAAGTCACTAAAATTTGAGTGACATTTTTATAACTTCAAAAGCCATACTCTAGGAAGTTTTTGATTTGGCAATTCCATGAAAAATTATAAGAATATTTATGACTGGGCTGTGGTGGTGCATGCCTTTAATTCCAGCACTAGAAAGGCAGAGGCAGACAAATCTCTGTGACTTTGAGGCCAACCTGGTCTACAGTGCTAGTTCTGGGACAGCCAGGGCTACACAGAGAAACTCTGTCTTGAAAAACAAATAAACAAAAAGAATATTTACCTTAACTAACAAGGTTTATGTCCTTGAAATATTAATTCAGAGATGTGATTAGAGCATGAAAATCTCACATAAATAATGCATTCTTCTTTAGACCTAGAAACAAACAACTTCAAAAATGGTAGTAGTAGAAGGCATATTGATCAAAATGAGTCCAGTGAGGATGTGCATTGGAGTAAGCCTGTCAATATCTGGGCATGGATAGAGGAGGGGCTCAAAGAGCCTTATCATTATTTACTACCAGTTCAGGGTAAGTTGTGTACCCATTGGTTACTCCACAGTCTCCAATGGATAGCCCCAATGCAATGTTAACACAGATGTACCTGGATAAACTAGATGGGTCACAAAACCAACCCTAAATTCATGAATCTAAGAAAGAAACTGGTAGGGAATTGTGAGGAGGCCAGGGATAGGAAAGAAAGTAGTAAGAGATGGTGAGAGGAGAGATTATTCAAAATGTATTATAGCCATTATCGAAGAAATAACTAATTTAAGTAATTAATAAAAGTATACAAATGTGAGATATCATAGACAGAAACATAGTCATCTTTCTGTGATTTCAGGAGACGGAGCCCAATGTGTAAAATTTACCCTTATCTTTTCTTCTGACAAAACCCAGAAGTTTTATTCTTTTCTTATCACCATTGTGGTGGTAAGAAATTTGGTAAATTCATTATAAAGTTTTCCTCCAATACTATTGTACTATAAAATCATGTGCATTATTAAATAAGTTAATCCAGTGAGATAAATACATTTGACTGATACTATGTTGTAAGAATAAGTGATTGAAAGTTTAAATAGAAAGTATAGTTTGTTGCTACACTCTGCAGACCATAAGATGTAGTAAATATATTGAAATTAAGTGACTATATTTTGTATTTTTGTATCATCTGCTAAAATAGCAGTCAGGCAGATTACATGGTCAAAACTGAAATGCCAGTGGCTGGGATGTTGTTCAAGCAAAATCTCCAATTCCAGGCAAATCTGGGCTACTTAGTGAGAATTGCCCCCCCCCAAAATGAATAAATAAGTAAATAATTTTTCTGGTCTTCAGTTATTTTGAGACTCAGATATCTATCAGTGCCTTAGCACATCCTACAAGTTATTCTCCTTTCCCATCCCCTCTATCCATTCTCAAACTCAGGATCTCCTTGTCTCAGTCTTCTAAATGGTAGAATTACAGGCATGATACTCAGTTATGTTCAAGTGATGCTTAGTCTAAAGAACACATGAAAAATGGAAATCCCCATGTTTTGGTAATCTATTAAGGAAAGTGATTATTAACTTGAAAAAGAATTGATTAATTAATTTAAGAAATTGGATAATTATGTATTTATTTCACAATGTCTTTAGTATTTTTGTCTAGTTGTACCTTTTTCTTTACAGATAAAAATATCTGATTACTATGCATTACTAGCAGGAAAAACAGATGATTCAAGACCTTGGTCACTGTAAAATATTATCTGAGGGAACAATATTTTAAGGTTGTCATGGAAATAGTACCTTAAAAGAAGAAATTATCCAGAAAAAGGGAATCAACAAATGACTCATATGTTATCATTCCTTTCATTTGTTTCTCAAAGGAAATACATGTGGAATTAAACCTTGAAAAAGACCATTCATGTGATAATAACTTTAAGTGTTTGAATTAGCAATTCAAATCTCTCTAAATCCAGTAGTGAAGGATAAAACAGGATTGTAAATAGACTTGGTTTTTCAACCAGCCTTTCTTTTCCTTTTCCCCCCAGTCAACTAGGCATTTCTTAAGTCTATTCTCACAATCCTGGTAGCAATTAGGTCGAAGAATTATATGCTTCCAAAGAAAGGGAAGGAAAAGTGTAACAAGGGTTATTAAATTAACAAACATACTTACATATGTTCCAACAACACATAATTTAATTTATTGTCATCTATTATCAGGTAGAAATCAGAAGAAACACTTGTAGCTTAATAAATAATTTAATTTCTTGAATTTCTATGTAACATATAAATTTATTTTTACAGGATATATAGAGAGCATACTCATAGAGAGCAACAGACTTATGAAACGACTATAAAACACAAATTATAAGTTGAGTTTAAAATTTCTCATTTTTACACTTGTATTTGTCTATTTTCCTATTGCTAGTCAAAGCAAAACCAAATATATAATTGTAAGTATTCTAAGAAAAAAGAGCGCCCCCATCACCTACTCATGAGTTACATACATTCTAGATTGTACAAAGTCAAAAGAGAATGAGCAAAACTCAAGAGAAGTACTATGTAAAATGCACTTGTACTGACTGTGAACAGATCTGAGTGTGTTTGAGTTTAAAATGTGATTTGAACACCAGCAGAGGAAAATGACTACATCCACTTTCCTATTTGGGTTCCCTCAAACTCTGAAGATGTAAAAGTTGTGATTAAATAGCAGTTATAAGAACACATCTCCACTACTTTGGTGGAAAGAATACACTAAGGATTCTTGGTAACAGGAGCATATACTGCAAGCAGTATGGACAACTGCCCATGTATCCTAACATTAAGAAGCCATTCTCCCAATTGAACGTTAACCTAAACACATTTGATCTCCCCAAATTTAACTTCTCATTGACTAGTAAAGATAGATCCATATTACTTTGCCACATATTCATGCACTATGTAATAAGATCATTTCACATTAAATCTTTTTCAATGACACAGCATGCCTTTTGAAAGGTAACATTTAGATTATGAAGATTGAAATTTACACAACACCGATATTACATGTAATACTCTGAAGTTCATGGGCAGTTTTTTTGGAGTTTGTTACTTGGTAGTGGAGAGAACACAGTGTATTGATATTTTAGACTGCTTCCTTTTCTTAGAAAGAAGAAAATTTCAGATTTATGAACTCTGAGAGATACATCAATGAGAAGTAAACTGTAGAAAAATGCAAAAGTAACTTTACTTACTTTAATGAAGGATTCAGAAGCACAAGTTTGTCAGTGAACGCAGAGGCCAATAGAGGAAAATTTACTAATGAGCAGAAGGATTTACACATATATACTTATAAAGCCATATGCATCTTATAAATATATATGCATATCTTATCTGTAATGGAGAAACATTTTGCATGCTGAGGCTGTAAAAAAGACATAATACTGAATGGAAAATTAAAGTTGATTTCCTTCTACAAGACATTTTCTGTGGATTTAACCAAAGTTTGATTATGACAAGGGCATATCAAATTAGTAGTAGAATTAACTCTCCTCTTTCTTTTGTTTTATTCAAGTTAAGTAAGATTGGATAGCTCCTTCAGACAGCATTTCATTCTCTTAACACAAAGCATAGGTTTTCACTCTGCAATGAATGAAATAGTAACTACAACTTTAATCACCTCCGCCTCACTTTTCAGAACTGTATATATTGTTCCAAGGTCATACTAGAATTTGGGAAAGTAGCAAAAACTTAATCACTTAAAGTGAAGAAGATAACTTCTACTTTTTCTCATGCTAAAACTGGTTTCTTTTAGACAAACACATCAAATGGTTACTTTCTCTAATGTTTGAATACTTTTTGGTAGACAATGCAATTAAAAACACAGAAAAAATAATGAAATGAGTCACACTTTTCAAACTATATGATTTGGCTTTTTTCCTATTTGAAATGAATTTAGAAATAAGTAAATTATCCTAGTAATAATAGATATTTCTCATTTATTTGGGTGTAAACTACTTATCATTGTTAAATTTTTTTCAATGTTTCCCATGTCTTTCAGGCCATTTGGATGAGGAATTATCTCTGTTAGAAGAACAATAGTCACCCTTGAATTTTCATGACTGAAGTTAAGAAAAATAACAAGCTCAACAATGTTTGCAAGATATGTTGAGTTTATCTGAATACTAGCCTACGAGACTGTCCTCTGAATCTAAACATCTATGGCCTTTTGGATGCTGGAAGTCTTGAGAGTCACACACAGGAAAACAGATTTACACAATTATCAACCTCATCTGAAAGCTCACGTGTATTCATTATTTCCTTTAATTGATTTTAAAGGGCCAAGATATTCTTGAACTAAAGTATAAGGCCCATTATTAAGGATAATTGAAACTGTTGGCTACTTTCTTTGTTCAGAATAATATGGTGGGAAAGATCCATGACAAATAGCCTCTGCTTCTGTTGACAAAACTTTCTTCTTTTATTACAGAGTCAGATTGTGATTTATTTTAAATAACTGTATATATGGTTGGAAACATTTTCCACAATAGGGAATATGAATCTGTAGTGGGATTTCTAGCCTACTCAATATTTCTCCTCTATTCAACTACACCATTAATGGGATCAATGGCCAAACAATTTCAGATCAGAGACAATAAGGCATTTTCCTTTTCTGTGTATGTGTGTTCTCTTAGTTCTCCTCAGTGATTTCACTTGTGTGACCTTGATGATTTCCTTAGAATTTCAATAAAATTTCTTCTGGGAGTAATGATATAAACTGCAATTAGTAAAGAAGAAATCTCTAGTAATCCCAACAATCAGGAGGCTGAGACAGGAGGATTGAGAGCTTGAGGATAGCCTAGCCTGAATCCTGTCTCAGAAACAAAATAAGCAAAATATCAAACAAAAAAGAAGAAATTAAACACAATATTAGAAACTGCTCCTTTAAAAGGAGAGCTAGGGTTCCATTCCAGAATCAGAAAATAGCTTACAATGTACAAATAAATGTTTTCCTAGAAATAGTAATTGCAATTCAAATGAATGGTATCTGAAAAGTTAATGACTATTCTAGGATAAACAAAACAAACTTTAGAGTTTAGGAATCGGCTCTCAGTTAATATTTCTTCTTGTTATAAAATATTTATTAACAATGAAGTACCGAAGAAACCAGAATCTACACATTTAAGATTAAATTGATAGAATCCAAATACATATACTATGAGGAAAATAATAATTACAAAATTATTGACTGAACAATCAAATCCTTAGCTATAGAAATATAATAAGTTCAGATCTTATCACGTCTTCAATTTATTTCGTAGAATTCATCTAAACTTAAATCAGCTGGTAGCACAATATACGTAAGTCTTCTCTGCCCATAGAAGACCAAAGGGATGGGATACAAATTAAATAATCAAAGAGTTGAGCACCAGAATAAAGACTAAGATGCTCAGAAGCAGCAAGTTGAGGTTACACTAGAGAACCAGATGGGCATTTGAATCTATAATATATCATTCAGAGCTCAGGTGGTGATCGATGAAAAACAGGCAATACCAAACATCACACATGTCCAAGTCTGGAAGTCCATTCTTCCCCCCAGCTTGGCTAACACATTCACGTTTTCAAATGTGTTTTTACAGCTAGAATAATCTTATCCCCCAGAACCCCAACAAACAAAAAGAGAAGGATGAAACCTAAGCACTAGGGGAAATACATGTATTTTTATTTTATTGTGAGTTCTCATAGAACTTCTGTTACACATAGAACATGTGAACCCATAAGTTCTCTTCACTGGTTCTCCTGTGGAGCTAATAGAAGGATAGAAACTTGGGAGGAATGTTTCTAAAGCTATAAAAGCTTCCTTTGCATTTATGTCATTTGTAAATATAACAAAGCATTGGAGGAAAACAAATTTCTTAAGTTGTGAGAGTATCAAATATTACCCATCAATCCCTGAATCATGCTATTCAAAGTGCTTAAATCTACACTAAAAATAGAACAAAAAAATGTACTCCCAATGCAGCTAAATTAACACCTATGGATGCCTAAAATATGACTGTGGTCTGATTACTTCCTCCACATTTATTCCACACACCCACCGTGCACTTAAAAACTTAAAAAAAAACCAAAAGCAAAAGCAAAGAAATAAATCAAGCCATTGCCACATTTACAATCTTCTGAGTACTGGGGAAGTTTGGAATCCAGTCCAATGACAAGTGTCCATAGTACAAAGTAAACAATGGCCTTCTCTGGTTCTGAAAATAACCCAATGTGCAAAGCTGACCTTAGAGTTTTACGTGTCCTTGTAGCTTCAGTTCTGGTTTTTGAAAATGTGACACAGAACCAAGGGGAGCACAAGAATAAAGACATATTATAGAGAAGACCCAGGCAAGTTGTCAGGGAAGTAAACATTTTTTTTAAGCAAATAAAAATCAATGCACATCCCAAGGCTCCTTTGCCTTGTCACGAAGATGCTGAAACCTTTGCATTGTTACAAAATGTTTGTACTTGTATCTCATACATTCATAGTTCTACCTTGCCCTCCCCAATGACCTCTATTGCAATTTACACTTTTATGTCCATGTGGCCCACTCACAACTTCTTAGCCTTGTGGCCCAAACACTAGGATTGTTTTCTCGTTATATATGATATGGCAGGAATAAAGCAAACAAGGTAGTTACTACTTGTTCCCACAGATGATGGCTGAGAAGGAATTTCCCATAATGAATCACTAAAGTAAGTTCTATAAACCTTAAGTTCTATTGTTTTGTCACATTGATTTAAAACAAAGAAACAAACAACTAAAATCTACATAGGTAACATTTCCTTTTAACAATTCTGCCCTCTACAGGGTCTTTTGTGATTGATTTAGCATCATTGTTAACACGACAAGGAATTAGCTGCTTATGTGATTGATTTCAAACAGAAAGCTAGATGGTAAGTGACAAATTTCCTGTGAGCATCAACTTTCTGTTTTTGAAAGATAGAATCATATAGTTAAAATTAAATTAATTTCTATACAATAAAATTAAGTATTTTAAGTATTTTCTGATCTAATTAAAACTATTTTGTGCAAATAATATTTACTTTGAAAATAGTTTGTGTTGTTATTCATATGTTTGACCTCCTGAGATCTTATTTAAACACCTTTTTATTAATAAATGCTGCTTATGTTCATAAACTGAATGTAGCACTGAAAAGTAAATACAAGTCAGTTAACATTTAAGTACAAGGGAACTTCACAATAAGCTTCACAGATTTTTTTTCTGACTCTTCAGAAGATAACATTTTGTATAATACAAGGTGACAAAACGTATTTGATGACACCTCCTGATCTTCCCTTTGGTTTGGAAGCCTTCAATGTAAATTTCAGTTTTACTTGCCTTGATTCACCTATCTCAGTTAACTTGCCTGGTATTTGCACATAATCTCATTTGCAGAAAAATTAATCATAGAGGGAAAAGAGGAAGTAGATTTTCAAACAAAAACAGCCACAAACACATTCATGCCTTTCCAGGAAGTGATCAAATATAGGGCTTGATTTTTTTTTTGTTTTGTATTTTTGTGTGTTTTTTTATTTGTTTGTTTTGTTTTGCTCTTTTATATATATATTTCTATTTGTATTTCTATTTATATATATATATATTTATATATAAGGATACATCAACTCATTTTTAAAAAACGGAAACAACACTCTCCCCATTTTCATGCCTTCGATCTTCATTCTGTAGTGATCACTCTGTAGTGGTCACTGTCATGTGACTAGCACAACTTTGGGTCTAGAGTGTATTCTGAAGAGCAGTGAATTAAATGTTAAGACAGTTAGACCTACCCCTACCCTCTGCAGAGTTTTACACATCATGCTGCCATTAGAAGGGTAGAGGTGGGGAATGAGGTGGGGACAAGGAAGAGATATCAGGGCTCTGACTGGCAGGGCCCTCCTCTGAACAAATGTTCTTCTCTTTCTCTCTCTCTTTTGTTCCCAAACAGCAATGCAATGCTGGCGTTCGGTTGCACTGCTCTCTGAAGGCCGACATGGCCTAGCTGGTCCTAGGAAGAACCCGAGAGAGGATCCGGTGCTCCTTGTCCCGTCAGATAGATTTGTCCAAGCACCCCAAGGAAATGTTAAAAGCAAAATCAAATTTAAAAAGAAAATTAAAACCTCATTCTTAAACTAAATTAGTGAAGCAAAAAAGGGTTTTCTATCTACACATCAGTCTCTTCTTTAAAAAAAATGTAAATTTACAAATCCAGTGACATATAAAACAAAGTAAAAAAAATGTAATGGTAAGAGACATGGTAAAACAGGAAGACACTGATGCTACAAAGAAATTCCAAAAAATATATGTACAAGACCCTGTTTTTCCTCGTGTTCTAGAGATTGTAATGCATGTTTTTAACAGCAGCAGTCGAGGATTTAGTTCCAGGCACTGGACTGCAGATTCCTTTCAAACTCCCAGGAATGGGATGTCCTTACTTCTCTGTCACCAAATCACACTGGATATACTGGTCTCCCTTGGCAACAACGGCAGGATGGCACTGTTTGTGTGGGCCTCATCTGGATTCGGCTCCCTGCTCGACTTTGTCTGTGGCCGCTGCCCATTGATGAGTGTCATAGGGATGTTACAGTAGGTATGCTGATTTCCTATGGAGGTAAGTGGCAGGGTGCCCGTAGGAGGTACGTCGTACTCATAGCTTCGGTAGTAGTGTTTCTGACGCATTTGTGAATGGTAGGTGTTGTGAAAGGTAGAACGGAGATCTGGATGGGCAGTGGCTAGAGCTGTGGAGGTGGCCGCAGCCATTGAAATGGCCGAGACAGTCTGCAGCTCCCCGAAAGGCCCCTGCTCACTGACATCTAAAGCCTGCTCATGTGTAATGGGTTCTATCCTCTTAAAAGGCATTTCGTACTGTAAACGTTTCCAGAACTTCGAGTTCAACTTGTTGCATTTTGGTCCATGCCATTTAATAACTGTCAGGAGCTTGATGGTGTGCTTGAGGGCCTCCACCTCCTGGTAGTTCATAATTCCTCGGAGTTCGCTGCATTCGATCAGTATCACTTTGATTTCTCCGGTCACAAGCATGTTTCGAAGTCTTGTTTCCAGCTCAAAGATGCTCCAGCCCCTCCGAACTACATAATTTGGAGTCATGACAATGATCAGCCTCTTACTTTGATCTACACATCTTGCCACATCTTCAATGTATGCTGTAAAGAGAAGAAGGAGTTTCAGGGTAAGTGAACTGGTGAGAGATCCAAAAGGCTCTGATACTTTCTGCTACATAGTATGTAAGAACGGTTTGTTGTTCACACGTTGTGAAGATGAAAATAGTGGATGAGCAAGCACTTTGGATAGAGTTTTGGCCTCCATTCTAGTAATATTGGAGATATGAATTACATGAAGAAATACCTCGTTTGATTTAAATAAATATTAAGTCTCATAGAGTACAATGCTGTGTAGAATGATAGAGTATCTTCTCTGGCATGTTAAAAATAAAATTTCATATAAAACTTTTATTTTTTGAGAAAGTAAAACAAAATTATTTAAGACACAAAGTGCTATGTAAAACTGGTGACTACACAGACATACCAACTTATAACACACACACACACACACACACACACACGTAAAATAAGCAAGTGAAAACATTAACTTACTTCCAGTTGGGATCAAATCTCTATCTGGTATAAACAACTTATACCCATAATGCTTTTCAAGCATATCAGGGAGAATTTCAAGGGCAAAACGTTCTTCTTCCCCAGTCTCTTGATTCCACTGGTCAGGATCCACTTTGGTATATGATAGGTAAGCATCATAATCTTTGTTGTCTGTCAAAAACATTACAAAGTAAGTTTTACAAATTAAGTTCTAGAAAGAAAACAATCGAATATTAGCAATATTCACTTTTACTTATAAATATTTACAAACATTTTACTCTTGGAAAATAAAAAAGAAGCCTATATTAATTTTAATAGTGTGTTCTGCAACTAGCTGGAAGGTACAAAGGGACACATTGTGATTTTTGTTGTTGTTATGAAAACAGTAGGAAAAAATTAGTGGCAAGGGTCATGAAGGAATAAAGGATAGGGTTGGGGCTCAGTGCTGGAACTCATCAACTTTTGGCATCACAAGCAGGTGCACCTACTGGCACGACCAGAAAAAAAAGGTTGTGAAATCCCAATTTCCATAATTTTTTCGATACAAATTATAGGAAATCTTTACTGTTTATATAAAAAGCTACATGCTTAGACAATAGTACATTATTATTGTATTTGCTGCATTTAACAACACCATCTTTGGATATTTTTTAAGAAGAGTGGTACAATCATTTAATTTCAACTTTGATTTTAAAAAAGATTAAAAGTAGTGACTGGGGTTACAAAAACCTGTTTCTTCCTTCGTTCCTTCCTTCCTTTCTTCCTTCCTTCCTTCCTTCCTTCCTTTCTTTCTTTCTTTTTGTTTTGATTTTTTGAGACAGGGTTTCTGTGTTTAGCTTTGTAGACCAGACTGGCCTTGAACTCAGAGATCCTCCTGCCTCTGCCTCCTGAGTGCTGGGATAAAAGGTGTGTGTCACCACCTTCTAGGCAAAAGCCTGTTTTTTCCCTGCAGTTTCAGTCACCAGCTACAATTCTGTCTATTGCAGAGATTAAAAAAGCTTGTAGGAGCTCTAATATTTCTCATAATCTCAAGTATAGTAATTAAGTTACTCTTCATGGTTTTCATGAGATTCTGGCTGAGACACATTATCAATAAAATGAAAACCAAATAAGAAACCCAACATCCATCTAATCAGTCAAACAACAGATCCAACATTTTTCTCCTATTTATATTGTTGAAATAACCATCATATTTATTTTTATTTCATAAAAACTTTTTAGAGTAATATGAGAATTTATATCCTATGCAATTAAGAAATAAAAATTAACTTAAAATGTTATTAAGAAGATTTATTGTGCTCAGCCCCAATTAGCACATCTATAGCACAATCTGTATACCCAAGACTCAGGGAATATGACAAAAGAGGGGGCTGAAAGATCCTGTGGGCCAGAAAACCAGGATACCTGCTGTAAGATCGTTTCTAATAGACATTAACAGAGAAGTTTTACCCATGAATCTCAACAATAAGAGTGACTAAATGAGACTTGCATGATGACTAGAAAAAGCTGACAGTACAATGCTGATGGGAGACTTTCACAAGGTTACACCCTTATATGAGAAGCTACAGGTAATCAATGGCTGCTGAGAGAGGGAGAATCTGTTTCTTCTAGGTATACAGCCCCTGGTAGGTTATCCAAACCCAAGCGGTCAATCCTAAACGCATGTACCTAGAAACAACAGTAAATGTACTCAGATTTATATATACATGTATATATATATATGTGTGTGTGTTTATATATGTAGCAATAATGAATAAAAAAGCCTTGACTTTGAAAGGTAGTAGGAAGCATGCAGGTATTTAGAAGGTAGAGAGGGAGAAATGGAAATTATGCAAATAAATTACTCATGTATGATATTCTAAAAAAATAAAACCAGGTTGAGTGTGGTGGTGTGTATCCATAGTCTAAGCTATTTGGAAAGCTAAAGACTATTTGAGGCCAAGAGTTTCAGAACAGTCTATGTATAATACAGTGAGTACTGTCTCAAGAATCAAAAACCAAACCAAACCAAAGAACCAACTCTAAATATATTCAAATATCATTATGAAATCTTCATGGGAGAAAGCAAAACTGAAAACATATCAGAAATAAAAATGCTTAGTGTGTTAATAAATAAATTCATCTTTCTCTTTAAATCATAAGAGGATTTTTGATTCAATATTTGTTGGGGCCCATAAAAATGTCTTCCTTTCATCTTGGCTTAAGGTCAGAGAGTTCAAAACTATCCTTAATCTTCCAAGGTTAAAATCCTAAGACCTAAAGGTCTAAGATGCGACTACTGTAGAATGTTTGGTCTTAGGCATGGATGTCTTATCTTAGTAACAAGAGACTTGGTCTGAGGTGTGGTTACTCTTAACCCCAAGGCCAGATAATGAGAGATTTAGCCTAAGGCATGGTTACCAAATGTTTGGAGAATTAAGGAAGAAAGTCTGTTTGTTTCTTGTATATGATAAAGAAGTCTTTTGCCATTTCCTGCTTTTTAGTTGGGGTATTTAAGAATGTTGAAGAATAAACTTGGGGCATTCAGTATCCACTCTATTCTGTATCTCTATCTCTTCCTTAGTTATCTTTACCTGTTGTTTCCCAATCCACACTCTCTCTCTCTCAGGTAGGAACAGGGGAAGTGGCTGGATCTGGCTGAAGCCCCACAAAGACAGTATACTACAGGTTGGCAACACAACATGGGGCTACTAAAGATGCTCTTTACAAATATTATATAAGACGATTGCATGGACTTTGTTTTCAGAATAATACACTTTAAAAAAAACAGAAATTGTAAGCTGACTTCTCTCTTTTGTAGATGAACATAGTTTACTGAATCTGAGCTAGGAAAAAGATATACTGGCAAGGGAATGGTTTGAGATTAACAGCTGGGTTTTTGATACTTTTTAACCTTTAAGTATCTATTGAGTAGTTGTCAGATATTATTGGCAACTGCCTTTTTATTACTCACAAGTGAAAATAAGTCACATAAATGAAACTGGCTAGTGATATAGACCGTAATTCACCAAATGGGTTACAAAAATAAAACTAGAGGATTGAAAGATGAACATTTAGGAATGAGATAGCTCAGAAAACTTATAATTAGAAGTTGTCACTGATATAATTTGAGGCATATTTCTTTCTTAGGTCTCAGGTTTTATTTTCCTATACAGCCTCACATTTCTGAGTTGTACTTTGTTCATGTTAAAAGTTGTAGAACTATATAATGTCAGAATGTATACATATTAAATTATAACTTAATGTTTTGACTTTCGTGCATATTGAATATCTGTTCATATTTTTCAGTTTTTGGTGATGTTTAAGGGTAAACCAGGAAGTTTGCATATGGCAGGCAATTGCTCTACCTAAATTTAACTTACTTTTAATTTCAATTCTGTTATGGAAGTCTCTGTAAATTATATTTGCATAGAAAGCTACTTGAATCAAGCATTTCAGCATTTTATAACATTGATCTATCCAGTCTACATGTTTTGCCATTCAGTATTTTTCCAGACTGTTTTATTGATTCTTAAACACTTAAATGAAATATTAAGTTAAATAGTTTTTGAGACAGGACCTTTATGTACACACTGGGCTTGCATCAAATTTACCATTCTCTTACGTTAGCCTACTGAGTGCTAAGATGATAAGCATTGTACACATGGCAGTAATTAAACTATTGTCCTGGGGACATGGCTCAGAGGTTGAAAGTACTTTCTATACAAATGTGTGGACCTGAGATTGAAACCCAATAACCCATATATAATCCAAACACAGTAGCAGCAGAATCTGCAATCCTTAGTCTCTTCTGGGTTGATGGGAGTCTGAGACAAGAGACTCCCTGGAAGTTCCCATGCCTACTGGCCTTCATAAGCCAGGGAAAACCATGATACCCTATCTCAAAAAACATGGAAAGGAAGGGCCAACACATGAGGCTCTCCTGAGCTCCAAATGTATGCATAGCCCACATGCACCCACATTTTCAATCATATAACACAAAGGAAAATGTAAAAAAAATTAAAATATTTAGGATCTGATATAGCAAAAACAAAGCAGCTGAGTTGAACTTCTGACTTCTATAAATTCTGACTCATTTTGAGATTTTATTTCCTAACCTGTGAAAGAGCACCTTGGAGGCTAAGACATTTCACAGCGATAGGATACTTGTCTAACACGTCCAAAGCCCTAGGTTTGATCCCCAGAACTGAGAAAAAGTGAGATAAAAACAACTTCTTGAAGCTATTTAGTAATTAATGTATCATAATTATATAGCAAATTGTTTGGCTTTAGAGTCATTTAACAAGTATTAATTTTCTCCCTAAAAATTCCTTTCTTTGTAACCTTAAGAAAGTAGCAGCTAGCATAGTTATGAAAAGTCTTAAGCACTGTTGTACTATGGCTTTTTACTTGGGGTATAACATAGCCATCACATTTGCAGATTTGAAGTAGTGATTCTTTTGGACAATTAATCATGGCAAAAAAATAAGCAAACCTTACAGAGATATCTATGTCTATATAATGGCAATGGAGCTCTTGGCACTCCCTATTTAGGAGGTAGGGGAAGTCCCATGATACTCACCTGGGATTGCAGCCAGTGAGGGATCCTGCCCTCATTCCTTACAATAACAGGTGATCAAGGGAGATACTAGCATTTGCTTGCTTTCTTTTTGTTATTTATTATTGTTGTTATTGTAGTTGGTGACAGTGGTAGTGTGTGTGTGTGTGTGTGTGTGTGTGTGTGTGCAAGACCAGAAAGGTTAATAGAAAGTAGGACTGAATGACTCAGCTTACATAAGGACATTATCCATGATGGAGTGGGATTGTGTGGTGGTGATACAGCTGTTTGAGGGTCACCTGTACTCCCATGAGAAACCCCTCAGCCCTGCTCTTTAAGCAAGCTTTCAAAATCTTATTGGATGACCAAATTGGATTTGGATGTAATTGTTACATTCATCTGTTTGCAGTCCCTATGTGGGGAGAATAGGCATTTGTTTCTATTTCCTCAGGAAGAGTTAATAGAAGAGGAGAAAAGGTAGCTGACTAGTATCAGGGAGCACTTGGTGTGGGTTAAGAAGGGCTGACACGTCTTTTAAAAGTTTCTGAGTTTGAATAGGTCATATGCTCAAAATAACTTGTTTCCCCTTTGAGAATTCAAAAACCATGTATGCAACTCAACCATTAACCTGAAA